GGTGTCCAGCCCCCCAGGGCTGCAGCCAGCACCGTGCCTGCAGCAGCCCCTGCCAGAGCAGTGGGGCCAGCCCCTGGGCACGGGGTGAGCCCAGCACCCCACAGCCTGCCCTGCTCACCTTTGTTGGCACACGCCATCCACTGCAGCGGGGTCACGTCGTAGTTGTGCTGCCCAACAGAGAAGGTGAAGACCCGGACCTGTGGCAGAGCAGTGAGGACTGTCCAGCTGACACCCCAGTCTTCCACATCTGGGTGCTCCCGGCTGACAGGAACCTCCCAGGGTTAGGGTGCTGGGGGGGCCACCAGCCTCATCCCCCCTGGCAGCCCATGGCACTGGCACATCACCTGCCTCATTAGCAGGGCAGCATCTTGGCACAGGTTGCCAGGGAGGGAGGACGGTGACATTGCTCATGGCAAAGGAGGTGGAAGGTGCTGATGGAGCTGCAGCAGTTGTCTCCCTACCCAGCAAGTGGCCCCAGCCCAGCACATGTCCCCACAGCCCCTCACCGTCTTATTGGGCCAGTTGTACTTCTCAAAGACATCCTGCACCCGGTCTTCACCACCATCCGTGAACATCATGATCATCTTGTTGCAGTTGGCACGTGTGATGTTGGACTGCAGGGAAAAGAGATGGCACCTGAGGCAGGACCTGGAACGGGGGCTGGATGTGGTCAGGAGGGCTGGCCCTAACCCATCTCCTTTCCCAGCCTGTTTCTGGGGTGAACAGGCAGGAGGGACACCATCTGCTTGGAAACGATGATGTGGCTATTGCTGCTCGACACCTACTAGCACCATTCATCTTTATTTTGCCTCTGGCACAGTGTCTGGCCAGATCCAGCTGCCTCCACCCAGCCCTGCTCACTTTTAATAACCCAGAAGGGCCAGAGCTCCACCAAAACCTGAGGTTCAGCATGCTGAGGGTGGGATGTTCCCCCTGGCATTGCAAAGGAGAACAAGAAGCCCCTACACAACAAAGCCCCAGGTATGGGGCAGCAGCTGGGTGCTTGGAGCTTCTCCCATCACACCGAGCACCCATGGGTGCACTCTGCACCTGCCCCCCCAGCCCACAGCCTGGCCCCAGCTCACATTCTGCAGCTGGTCAAAGGCGTACTCAAAGCCAGCCTTGTAGTCAGTCGTGCCCTTGGCCACCATCCCCTGCACGTCCTCCTTGAAGACCTTCTTGTTCCGGATGTTGGCCTGCACCAGGTGCTTGAAGCATGACACTGGCTTCGCCTTCTCATTGAACTGGGAGGTGAAAGGGAGGGGAGCGGGTTGCAGAAAGGGGCTGGAGACCCAAAGGTAGCCCCTGCCAGGCACAAACCACCCACCACACTTAGCTCCTATGGGTGGGATGCAGCTGGAGCACCCTGTGTTCCATGTCCTGGCGATGCTGAGACCAGGGCTTGGCTTGGGTCAAACCCAGCCCCGAGCACCCATGGGCGCTGGCAGCAGGTGCTACACTCTTGCTTCTGCAGGACCCCCAGGGCTCACACAGGCAGACGTGCTGTGCTGTGCCAGCAGCAGGTGCTGCCTCTCACTTACGGCTTCATTTGCTGGCGATAGGGGCCATTTATTAGGGGAGCAGTGATCCAGCTAACGGAGCTGGGCCAGACACGTTAATTAGCGCTGTCGCGCTGGCCAGACAGGCAGGGGCTGGGCTGGGTGCCCAGTGACACACAGATGTGGTGGCACAGCCATGGTGCTCTGCCAGGTCATGGGCTCAGGACATTGCCACGGGGGCGTGATGTCACTGTCTGGTGACAGACTGGAGGTGGCTGGTTGGGATGGCCCCGGGAGCGTCTCTGCCAAACGCCCCGTGATGGGGCAGCTTTCATTCCCCAAGCTCTGAGCAGCCGTTTCCTTGCTTACATGCAGGTGGGTGGTTAAGGGAAAACAAACAAAATGAAGGCATTTCTCTTTCTGCAGAGCCCCTGGCCAGGTGGGTCTGGGCTCCATGGTGGGTAGCTGGGAGCTGCCTATGGGGCACAGCCCCACTGCCAGCCCCATGGCACTCACTGAGGCCACGTTGACGTAGTCATCATCTGAGAGGGTGTCCAGCATCTCATAGACTGAGGTCTTCATCAGCTTGAGGGTGAGGCCACTCACGCTGCCACTCCTGGTGGGAGAGAGGGGTGCTGGGGGCTTGGCAGTGAGGGAACATGGGGTTCCCCACCAGCTCTGTCCTACACAGCTTCCCTGGGGCCACTGGTGGGATGGTGGCACCCCAGGAAGCTGTGCCACCATCCTAGCCTGGCTCAGCCCAGCCATGGCCCCCACCCATGTACTCACACATCCACGATGATGACCATGTCCTTTGGGGAGGAGGCACCTTGGATGTACCTGCAGGGCACAGAGCAGGGTCAGTAGGGCCAACTCATTTTGGGAGAGACCCCAGGCCTGCTGGATGCAGCCCAGGCACAAAGCTCTGCCAGGGCACAGGCAGCCAGAGAGCTGTGCTGAGAGCACCTGCACATCCAGAGCTGCAGGGGCCTGGGGTTGGCAGGTGGGCAGAGGTGAGGATGTGGCAGGGCACAGCAGCCTGGCAGCGACCTGCCGCTCCGTACCCTGCCCACCTGATGAGCTCTAAATGCTAAACTCTTCCATCATCCCAGGCCCTTTTCTGCACGCTGATTATGCTGACACACACATCCATATTAAGATGCTATTTACCCCCCTGGTAGCTTCAAAGGCCAGGCTGATTATTTTATTTTTAGCTTTGAGGAGAAAAAAATACTACTACTTAAATCCCTCGCCTCAAAAACAATTAGGGAACCCTCTTCACCCCTTAAAGCACCCAGTCCTGCTCACAGCCCTGCTGTGCCATCCTGTGTGGGACAGAGCTGGTACAATGCTGAGCTCCTGTCCTAGCAATGGCACAGCTCAGCCTCCTGGTCCTATTGTGTGGGACCTGATCCTACCATAGCTGAAGTCCAAGAGAACCTCATTATTGACTTGATCAGGATCAGGCCTGATGCTAATTAATTAGTGTGTTATTAGTATCAATTACTCACTATTACTGGAGAGGACTGGGGAAGGCTGATTGCTAATCCCAGGTCCTGATGTTCCCTAATTGCAAGTAATTACCCCAGCAGGAAGTGGGATGCAGGATGCTGGTGTGTGGGGGTCCTCCTGGCATGGGTGCCACATCCCCCCAACACCTCCTGCTGGGTGCTGGGGTGCAGAATGGGCAGGCACTGCCCACGGGCTTCCTGCTGGCCTGAGGCGTGGTGCCTGACCTGCTCCCAGAGCCCAGCTAAGATGCTGCCCACAACGGGTTGTGGCAGCACATCTGTTTCCAGCTGCCCGGCTCAGAGGAGCACCCCTGGCTCTGCAGGAGGAGGTGGTGAACAGCACCATCCACCACAGAGGGGAGGGCAGGTGAGGGGCAGGAGGGCAGGAAAGGACCCCAGAGGGGGGTCCATGGGGGTGTGCTGCTCCCTGCACAAGGGCTGCAGTTGCTCCTCCATGGTTAGGTGGGCGAGTGCATGGCCAGCCTGGCTAGTGGGCAGGCAACCAGGCTAGCCGGGCTTGGTAGCCCCTCTACACATCAGCAACCCCCCGAAATGGCCTGCCTGACCCCCCTCTGCCAATAACCCACATGGTCACCCCTGTGGAGATCGTGAATAATTACTGTGGAGAAATCAAAGACAATTACCCATAGCAGCAGGGCTATTCACTTTCTGACAAGGAGAGGGGGCAGGTCCTGGCTTGGGCAGGGGGTGTTCCCCTGGGATATAGGGCTCTCTGGGCACATGCTGGAGACCTGCTCCTGCTTCCCTCTCCATGCCTGCACTTTCAGGCAGGAACCATGGGCAGGATGGGGCTGCAGCTCCCCATGGGCAGCGTGGGAATGAGTGCTTCCAACCTGGCACCTCTACCTGGGCTAAGGGGGACAATTCAATCCCGCCCCACCCGGCGTGTGGCTACATGGCTGCTTGCAGCTATCACTGAACTGTGGATGGGAATGACAGCTGGTCCAAGCACCAGAAGCCAGGGGGCTGTGGGGAAAAGCAGGGCAAGGGGTGGCTCTCCACAGTACATCTGTAGTCAAGGATTTCTCTCTCCATCCTACTCTGCCTGGGAAGAGGGGAGCGGGAGCCGAGAGCCACAGCTCAGATGTCCCTGCCTATGTCCCTGTGCCTGTTTGCCAATGCCAACCGTGTGTGAAATGGAAAGCGGAGGGAGCTGGGCTGCTCCCAGCTGGGAAGGGCTGGCCAAGGGACCCCCTGCCCCACTCAGCACCCCCTTACCAGGGCCGCCTGCGCACGTCGTAGAGGTCGATCTTATTGGGGGCTCTCCACGGGGTGGCTGTGGGGGGAAGGCAGGTGGTGAGCAAGGTGGGGCTGGCCCAGGGTGGGACCAGGGGGTATAGGGGGCAGGGCAGGGGGATGCCCAGGTCTGAGGAAGTGGCAGGCTCATGCTGCTGGGCTTTGGCACAGTACGGTTACCTGTGCCAGGCAGCCCCATGGGCCAGTGCCAGGAGATGCTTGGCC